GCCCGTGTTCCCAGATACTCAACATTTAGGAGATTTTTCTCTTTTCTTTTTTTCTTTCATTTTGCAGCAGATGTGACACTCAATTCTCTGGTGTCTGAAGCATTTGTCAGGTTTTTTGTGGAGTTGGTTGGACATTATTCTTTGAACATGACTGTCACTGAGCGTGGGGAGCGAGTATTCCAAAGGGAACCATTCCGTAAATCTCACACATCCCGAAGTGTACGCCACTTTCTTGATCTTTTCATGGAGACTCAGATGTTTGCAGGATTCATCCAGGACCGAGAGCTTCGGAAAAGTGGAGTTAAAGGTCAGTTTTAATCCTAGAGTTCTCTTTATTTAGTGATGGCTTAAATAGCATGAATATAATAATTTAATCCAAAAACAATGTAAAGCTATAAGGGCTCAAACTTGGAATTGTTCAGTTTGAGAATTATTTATTTTGTAATATTGAAATAATATACTGGTAATAAGAATAAATTTTTATTTAACTAATTTCCAGAGCATTGAACAGGTTTACCAACATGAGTTTTCTTTATAGGTTTGTTTGAGGTCCGGGCGCTCCAGTACTTGGAAACAATTCCTGAGTCTGAGCCCAGTGGGGTGAATAGAATTTTGCGGAGTCTTGGTGAGTTGCCGTGATTTACTGTAAGAGAAATGTTGCTGAAGGGGGGGAAAAATGCTCTCCAGTAAGCAAAGCTCATCCCAAAGACTTTATAATCAGATTAGTGTAACCTCAAGTAGACTTGAGCAAAAAGCATGACCCTAGTTCCAAAGTGTTTGGGAGAAAAACTCTCAGAGGTTGGAACCCTCATCAGAGTAGCCTGTTCTGATGAAGCTCCCTGAACTGTCCCTTTATGATATAAGTTTCCATACCATGATTATTAATTATTTTTAGGCTGTGTCTCTTGGATAATCTTATAAAAACTGTGGCCCCTTTTCCCGTGCAAATAAATTGTGCATATAATTTTAGGGTGTTTGTGGACCCCCCCAAGCCTATCCATAGACTTCAGATTAAAAACACCTGATTTAGAGGAACTCTGAGGCAAAAGATTATGCACTTCATAAAGAAACATTTATGATTTTTCAAATAGTTATCCAGTATGGTATAAGAACATTGGTGGGCTACCCTAAAACAGTGAAGAACCTGTATTGCATAATATTTATACTGGTCTTTAAAATGTATGTCCCTCATTTAATCTTGTACCTAACTAGCTGAGAGACCATAGACAAATAATGCCTTGGGCTGTTGTTTCATCTTTATACCATGGGATTAGATTAGATCAATGGTTCTCAGATGCACTAAAGACTAATCTCCAGAGAGCCTAAGAAATTTCCTCAGGGTCTATGAAATCTCTGGGGAGTATGCTAGGTGATTTTAAATCTAAATCACTGAATTGGATTATGTCTGAGTTTTTTTCTCTCTCTGCAATTAGAAACAGGGATGTTCTGATGGTTAAACACATCAGCTGATATCTTGGTGTGTCAGCTTTTCATTATCATAACAAAATACCTAAAAAAATCAACTTTAAAAAAGGAAAGGTTGGGCTGGGGATGTGGCTCAAGCGGTAGTGCACTCGCCTGTCATGCGCGAGGTGCTGGGTTCGATCCTCAGCACCACATAAAAATAAAATAAAGATGTTGTGTCCACCGAAAACTAAAAAATAAATTAAAAAAAAAAAAAGGAAAGGTTAATTTTGACTCATAGATTTAGAGGTTGGCTCCAATCCATGGTCAGTTGGCTCCACTCCTTTGGGGCCTGGGGCATGGTGGGAATGCAGGGCAGAGGAAGCCGCTTACTTCATGGAAGAAGCAAAGAGAGACAGAAAGGGGCCAGGGTCCTAATATCCCCTCAAGGACATGCCCCCCCATGACTGGCTTTCTTCTTAAAAGTTCTGCCACTTCCCAATAGTGCCACAAGCTGGGGAACAAACCTTTACTACTTCAGCCTTGGGGTACGCTTATTCAAACCATAGGACTTGAGATGAAAGCTCAATTTTTGGGATGTTTTGAATAGTTGAATTATTAATCCCATGCCTCAAATAATTTACTTTAAGTGAAAATAAATTGAGAGTTCACTTTTTTTTTTTTTGACTTTTAGGAAGCAAAATGAAATTTCTACAGAAGAAATGAAATCTTTACTTGAATGTCTCCATCCTAAATAGAACAGAAAGTGCCAAAAAAATATTTTTTCTAAGGGCAGGATGCATTGAAATATTCTACGAAATCCTTGAAATTTTAAAAGGTTAAGGAGCAAGTCAGGCTCTGAAGAAGACTCTCCTGTTGCTGCTGAGTAATTACTGGAGAACTGTTGGGAGTGATCTGGAACTGATGCTCGTTACTCTGCCTCCAGCTTTTCTATTGTGGCCTTTTATGGGCTCATTCTCTGTGTTTTGTGCTTAGTCTGTGAAGGCAAGGGAAAGGCTTGTTGGTATTGCATTTATCCAATAGCTCAAAGATGAGTGTAATGAGAGAAAGGGTGAGTTTTAAGTACTAGAGAGGCCTGATTGAAATGGAAAACATTAGCTTTATACATGTAATTCTCATCTCTGAAATATCATGGCAGCTTGAAACCCATGGGATGTTGGAGCTTACAAACTGGAATATACTCATCATTTGTCTCCAGGCTTTTTTGTTTAATGCCTTCCGAGGGTAACCTCACTTTATGTGGAAACCCTACTTTTTCAGTACTGTTAATTGAGTTCTTTATAAAAGTAAATATTTTGCAGCTTCTCCTCCACAATGTGTGACACTTGAATAACTTATCCCTCACGTGTCAGCATTAAATTTTGAGGAATTATAGCTAATATGGAAATGTCCTTGCAAGGACATATTTGTGTGTTCACCATTTGCCATGCATTGTAGTATATGTATGTATGTCATCTTATGCAAGTCTTAAATTTTTGATTTTGTGTCTCCATTTTGCTAATGAAGAAACTGGAATTCAAAGAGGCATAATAATTTGGCCAAAGTTATGCAATTCAGAGCTGATGCTAGAACTTTTATTTTATGAACACAGAGAAATTTGTTAGTCCTACAGATGGAAATTTGAACTCTCTAGGATTATAGCTATTTAAACAGTTTTCCATTAAACATACTAGAGTGAACTTTCAGCTCTGAGGATAAGGGATTTTAAATTACATGGGCCAAGAGAGGGTTTGTTTTTGTGGTGCTGGGGATAGAACTCAGGGCCCCTCACAGCGGCTCTACCATTGGGCTACACCCCCACCATAAGACTCTTCTTTGATTCTCTTAACATCATTGGGCTTTTAACTCTAATTAAATTTGACTCTGAATATGAACATTTCCTGAGCATAACCACTTAGTCACCCAGATCTTTAATATCAAAAGTAGAAGTGATTGGAAAGAGGAATTTGTCAGTGATGGTGCAATTTTCATTGATAATATTATAGAAAATATCAGGTTTTTTTTTTTTAACTTTTGCTCATGGTTTTAACTGCCATAGAAAATATTTATTCATACTTTTAAAATCCTTGTACAGTATTGTCATTATAACCCATTCAGGTGTGCTTGAATGAATCTGGAGTAGATGCCATTTAAGGCTGGTGCTGTGTATAGTTCCTACAGATGTGGGTCCAGGAATAGAACTTAGCCTGTGTCTTCTAAAATCTTGATTAAGCAGCTTTCACTTACCATACTCCTCCCCATTTAATCTCTTCTTATACTCTTAAGCCTGAGGGAACAATTAGTCATTGAGTGTTTATGCCATGGGGGTAGAAAGGTTTACTGTGGTGGATCCTGGTTATCCCTCTGCAGGGAGACTTTGCTTCAGGGATGAGAGTCTTACTCTCCTTCAGGGATGAGTCTTATGTTATCCTTGCAATCTGAAAGTCACTTCCTTTCCTTGGTCTGTTGCATTTTGTTTTCGTAATGTATTGTGAATTCTGGATACGTTTGTAAAAGAATTGCTCAAGATTTGTATAAAATGTTCTTTTAATGAATAAAAACATTTAAAAAACGCACAAATCTCTCGAAGAATTTTAAACAAAATTGTTTTAAGATGTAAAGATGTTTTTACTTCACTTAAATCTACAGGTAGCACATTTACTTAATGGTAAATTAGAAAAATAATCCGAATCCACCATAGACTAACCAGGCTTAAATACCGTGGCCAACATTTACAAAGGTCTTCGCAAACAAGACTGGGTCGATTACACAATGGATAGGGTATGTAGTCGAAGAATCTTCGTTGGCCTTTACCTGCTTAGTTAAAGGGAGGCAGCTTAGTCTGGGGGGCCAGTAGCAAAGAATATGGCTTTGGCAGCAGCTTGAATGGTTAGGAGGCAATGAGTGCTTTTCTATTACCCTAGGTCTTCCTTCCCAGTTGGTATTGGGGATTGAACCCAGGGGGCCCTTTACCACAGAGCTACATCCTCAGCTTTTTTTACTTTTTGAGACAGGTCTAGCAAATTTGTTGAGGCTGGCCTGGAAATTGTGATCCTTCTGCCTCAGCCTCCCTCCTGAGTAACTGGAATTACAGGGATGCTGCACTGCGCCCAGTCTTAAAGGCAAAATGACTGGGTTTTTTGTGTGCTCTAAAGGCAAAATAGCAGGGCTTTTAAAAGTGGGCAACAAAGTGCACGAAAATCCCAGCACACGAGTGAAAAGCTTGGGAGAAGGTGGAGGTTAGAGTAAATCGAGCTGAGCTGGGAAACCACTTTCTCATTTCCTGCCAAATCCTGCAACCAGTTCCTCCAGAAATCTGAAGGGGCTCTCCTGCCAGGAATCGACCTCCTGGAGGTAACAAAAGTCCCAACTCCACTAGACTGCTGCCATTCACACACAAAAAAACGCAGCAAACCGAAGACTGAACATTGAGTCCTTCCGCGGAGACGACGGCGCGTGACGTCACTTCCGACCCAAACGTCAGAGCCCTGCGATTTCTAGCTGCAGAGCTAGCTTGCCTTCAGATTTAGCAATTGGGCATGCGCTAAAAGTCGTTGCGCGGGCGACGTGGATTACATCAGCGCAGGGCGCAGGCGTAATCAAACGGGACTGAGCCTGCGCAGACTCAGAAAACACAGGAGAACCTGAAGTCTCTGGAATGGCGGGCACGGGGCTAGTGGCCGGCGAGGTTGTGGTGGACGCGCTTCCGTATTTTGATCAAGGTTATGAAGCGCCTGGCGTGCGAGAAGCGGTGAGTGCGGGCTGCCCGTGTGGCTGACAGCGCTCACTGGCCGGTGGCGGAGGAGGCGCGTTATAATTTGTCGCTTGTAACCTGGCCCCTGCTTTTTTTAGGCTGCAGCGTTGGTGGAGGAGGAAACTCGCAGATACCGACCTACCAAGAACTACTTGAGCTACCTCACAGCCCCGGATTATTCTGCATTTGAAGTAAGTGTGAGGCTTCAGCCCTGCGTACGAACTAGGATTCCCGTGGATCTTTATTTTGGATTGAGAGTTTTAGCTACGTAAATGTGAATTTTAAATTCCAGCTTAATTGTTGTTTTCTTAGCTGCTACTTACATGTCGTTTAGTTATGTTTATCTGAAAACAGCAGATAGCTAATCTTGTCCGAGATTCTTACTCTGAGAACCGGAGAAGGAACTCTCCTAATGCAGAAACTCTCCTTGAACGCTCCTATTGCAAAAGTCTGTGTGGATAAATTCTCAAAGGGATCCTCTACCCTCCAGATCCACTGTGCAGCAAGTAATCTAGGGTTTTTAATATATGTAGGCTTAATTACCAATGCTCTTTAGAACCACTGGAGGGCGACATTTTTATCAAAGCCTAGATATTTACCAAATGTGTGTGAATGAGTGGACAAACCACGTCTAAGTATATACCATTTTAAATGTTTAACCTAGAAGTGCACCCAAGATACTAGTTAGGATCTAATCAGCTAGCCAAAATGTAAAATGTCATTTCTGGACTATTGGATAACATTTCAACATATTTAGAGGTTTTATTTTCCCCAAATATGTGACCATTTATTTATGAAAGGATTGTGTTATTAAAAGGTAGTACAGAGCTAGGGCTGTAGCTTAATAACAGAGCACTTGTGGAACACGGCAAAGTTGGGGGGTCCAATGGCCATCACCACACAAAAGCACACAAACACCCAAGGTACCAGTTATTTGCTGGTCTGTTTCGTGTTGCACCAAGTATCCTATCCTAGATACCATACAGGTCAGTCACTTCAGATGACCTGGTGATGCAGTCAGTAGAGAAGGAAACATATATATATATATGAGGGTGCTGCTGGCATAAGGGGGTATAAAGTCTTTAGTAAATAGGAGTACACACAATAGCATAGTATACCTTGGCATGGTGGCACATGCCTGTAGTCCCAGCTATTCCAGAGGCTAAGAATAACAAGTTTAAGGCCAGCCTGGGCAATAAATGAGCAAGACTCTGTCTTAAAATAAAAAGTTAAAGAAGTTAGGGGTGCAGCTCAGTAGTAGAATGCTTACCTAGCATGTGGGAGGCCCTGGGTTAAATCCCCAGTACCATTTAAAAAAAAAAAAAGCATAGTAAATACATTCAACTAGTAACATAGTTGTATACTGTCATTCTTAAATAATGACTGACAGTGTCATAGGTTTGCACAGCATCTCCACAAACACATGTATTGCACTATGACATTAATATGACACTAGACATAGATATTTTTCAGCTCCATTGTAATCGTTTGGTGTCACCTTCAAATATGTGGCCCATCATTGCTATTTTCCCATGCTTTCTTTAAGTTGTCTATTATTATTATTACTTGTTGTTGTTTGTTTTGGTGGTACCAAGGATCAAACCCAAGTCCTCATGCATGGTAGTGAAGTGCTCTACCCCTGGGCAACTTCCAAGGCCGGCCTTCCTTCCTTCCTTCCTTCCTTTTCTCCCAGGGCTATTTAACCACTGAGCCACATCCCTAGCCCTTTTCTGATATTTTATTTAGAAACAGCATCCTCTTGAGTTGCTTAGTTCCTCACGAACATGCTGAGGCTGGCTTTGAATTTCAATCCTCCTGCCTGAGCCTCCTTAGCTGCTGGGATTACAGACATGCACCACTGCACCTGTCTAGACTTGAACTTTTGATCCTCCTGCCTCATTCTCCTGTGTAGCTGTGATTGTAGCCATGTACAATCATGCCCCATCATACCACCATTGCTTCCTTATTGTTCTGATTTCTGGAGGTTTCAGATAATAACATTCAATCACAATCTTTTTTTAATATTTATTTTTTAGTTGTAGTTGGACACAATACCTTTGTCTGTTTATTTTTTATGTGATGCTGAGGATCAAACCCAGGGCCTCACACATGCTAGGCAAGCGGTCTGCCACTGAGCCACAACCCCAGCCCTCAATCACAAACTTTTTAATACTTTAATTTGTTTAATCATTTTCTCTCCCTCTCTTAAATATAACATACTTCCTGCGTTTGTAACTAGCATAATGATTATTTAACCCTTTCTCAATTATACTTGGTAATAGTATACTGGACTCACTATCTCACTTAGTCTACAGAATGGCCCTGTGAACTATATAACTCCTTATTTACCATTTTCAGTGAAACAGGGTCTTGCTCTGTTGCCCAGGTTGGCTGCAAACCCCTAGGCTCAGATTCCTCCTGATTCATCCTCTCACATAGCTAGACTAGAGGCACAAACTACTCTTCCAGGCTGATAGCTATTTATATCCCATTTTTTAGATAGTAAAACTGAAGTTTAGAAAAACTAACTTAATTCACCAAGACATTGATTGCTTTTCAAACTGCCTTTGAAAACTACTCTCCCTTTAATTAATTTCACAATTATTTTTTAATATCTGTGCTGAGTATTAGGGAACAGAATAGGCAAGGCCCATACCCTCACAGAGCTTGTATTCTAGAGTATTGAGACAGACAAATCAGAAAATACCAGATTCTTGATAAATGCTATACAGAAAATTAAAATAGTAATGTGATAGTGACTGATTGACTACTCTAGATTGGGTGGTTGAGGGAGGCCTTAATTTTAAGCTGCAATGTGACAACTCCCTGAACAAGAACCTTTTTGTCATCTTCATTGCCTGGCACACAGTAGGTCCAGATGATGATCAATGGATGTGTAAACAGCTTCCAAGGCAGTTTTATATCATGAATGCTTACCATGTGTTCAACATGCCTAGAGTTTTCTGCTTTGTTTTGTTCTGTGTTTTGATAACTTAGCTTCATGAACCTGGCTCAGTCTTTGGAGCATTGAGCTAAATTTCTAAATCTTTTGCTTACTGTCCATGTAAGTTAGAAAAGGGCTCCTTTGTAACTTGCCTGCATTTTTGTAGGTTCTCTCTTAGCTAATTGTTAGTTGTTATTCTTTGTCGTTGTGTATAATCTTGTAGCTAAAAAGCCCTAGTTTTGTGCAAAAAACAAGATAACCGTATGTTTTTTTCTTAAGAATTGTGTATAGTTCAGCAAACCCCAAAACAGCTTTCTCCAACAAGAAATGCTTAATGTAAAATTTGTCAAAAGAAATGTGGGTTTCTGGAAGGCCTTCTTTAACTTGTTCTACTGAGATTGTTGGGATAGTTGAAGCCCTCAGACAACTGAAATTGTGTGAAGTGACCTAAGTATTACTATAAATAAGTATTTTATTTAAGCAGTTCTTTACACTCAGGGTAGAAAATATGCAGAATAGAAATGGGATTAGGATATATTGAGCAGAACGTTGGACTTACAAGAGGCATGGCCATAGCACATCTTTACCATAGTGAAATTGCTAAAGCAGATTGCAGAATAAATTACATTTTCTCCTTCCTCCTTTTTCCTCCATTCTTTGCAAAGAATTAGGTGTAAAAATAGCAACCAGGACAAAATAGAAAGTATAGAGTTGGGGGCTGGGGTTGTGGCTCAGTAGTAGAGCGCTCACCTAGTAGGCATGAGGTACTGGGTTTGATCTTTAGCACCACATTAAACAAATAAAGGTATTGTGTCCACCTACAACTAAAAAATATATTTCTTTAAAAAAAGGAAGAAAGTATAGAGTTGGGCTCATAATCTTAAAGCAAAGTATTTTATGCCTGAAGTCCTCTCCCTTCTTCGTCCACTGTCAAAAAGTGCTCAGGTTGATAGTTCTTAACCCAGCTTCACTTGACAATCAACTAATGTTAAAAACAAAAATAAGACCAGGCCTGGTGGCACACACCTGTCATCCCAGTGGCTCAGGAGGCTGAGGCAGGGGGATTGTGAGTTCAAAACCAGCTTCAGCAAACATGAAGCACTAAGCAACTCAGAGAGACCCAGTCTCTAAATAAAATACAAAATAGGGCTGGGGATGTGGCTCAGTGGTCAAGTGTGCCTGAATTTAATCCCCAGTACCCCCAAAAAAATAATACAACTGAGCTCAGTGGTGCTCGCCTTTAATCCCAGCTACTTGGGATGCTGAGGCAGGAGATTCCAAGTTTGAGGCCAGCCTCAGCAATTTAGCAAGACCCTCTCTCAAAACTTAAGAAAGATCTGGGATGTAGCTCAGTAGTAGAGCATTTGCCTAGCATGCACAAGGCCCTGGGTTCAGTCCCCTGTACTGAACCAAAAAAAAGTAGGATCATGTCTAGGCTCCACCTGACACCAATTAAATGGGAATAAGAGAGAGAGGGGTGAGTTTGGGGGTTTTTTGTTTTTGTTTTGTGGTGCTGAGGATTGAACCCAGGGCCTCGTACATGCGAGGCAAGCACTGTACCTACTGAGCTATATCCCCAGTCCAGGGGTGAGATATTACTGGGATTAAAATTATTTGCAGAGTCCCAGAAACACTATTTTTTTAAAATTAATCCTTTCTTGGGAAGTCTAGTAGAGTAGAGGAAAAAGAATGGGAGAGATGAGGGAGGTTGGGAGGGAAAAAGGGGGGATCGTGAACTGAAATTAATTTCCATGCATGTTATTATGAGTTTGTCAGGATGAACCCAGCTACTATGTACAATGATAAAGCTTTAATTATTTAAAAAAAAAAAAAAGAAGAAGAAGAAGAATTATTCCTTTCTTTTGTGGGCTTCTTTATATATACCACCTTTCCTGCCTGAGTATGAATTAAAGCATGTGTATGTTCAGATCCTAAAAAGAATTTCTCCCCAGTACTGGGGATTGAATCCAGGGGTGCTCTACCACTGAGCTGTACCCCCAGCCTTTTTTATTTATTTTTTTTATTTGAGGCAGGATCTCCTTAAGTTGCCCAGGCTGCTGTCAAACCAAACTTGAAATCTTCCTACCTCAGCCTCCAGGTCACTGGAACTATAGGTGTGTGCCACCATGCCCAGCCTGGAAAGCATTTAATCCAGAGAAGGATTTAGGGATGGCTGGGGTGTAACTTAGTGGGAGAGCATGTACTCAGCATGCGCTAGGCCCTGGGTTCAGTCCCCAGCACCTAAAAGAAGAATTGGGAGAAGGAAAATGATCCATTATAATGGGTAATATAAATACCTGAGTAGATTAAATTCATTATTTGGTGATTATTAATTTCAGTTTGATTATTAATTTCAGTATGAACTTGGAAATAATTTTTTCTCTGATTTATATATTAGACTGACATAATGAGAAATGAATTTGAAAGACTGGCTGCCCGACAACCAATTGAATTGCTCAGTATGAAACGGTAAGAATGTTAAAATGGAAATTTAGAAGTTATTTGTAGTAACTCATTAATAATGAGTTGAAATTTATGAAGAGTGTATTTGCTGGCTGTATTGACAGTGTAAAGATACTGAGAACAGAGTAGGCTCTAAAGGCAAACAAGTATTATGTTCCTTACCAATTTTTTTCTCTAGAACAGATATCATTTACAAAAACTGGTAGCAAATTTTTTTGGAGCCTAGGTTTTTCTTTTATATATTAAGATTTTTTCAGAAACATTTTTCTTTTTAAAGATGATAAGGCATGGGGAGGTAGCTCAGTTGGTACAGTGCTTGCCTTGCATGCACAAGGCCCTGGGTTCAATCCCCAGCACCACAAAATTTAAAAAGAAAAGGTGATAATGATAAGGCAGAAGCTAGGTATGGTGGCTCATGCTTGTAATCCCAGCAGCTCAGGAGGCTGAGGCAGAAGGATCACAAGTTCAAAGCCAGCCTCAGTAACAGCTAGGCACTAAGCAACTCAATGAGACCCTATCTAAATAAATAAAATGCAAAATAGGGCTGGGTATGTGCCTCAGTGGTCCAGTGCCCCTGAGCTACTACTGCACAGGGTCTTGCAAGTATGAAGAGAGATTGGACTGAACTTCCAGTCACATTTAATAGCTAATATGGTAGTTCTTTATGTGAATATGATATAGTTTACTTAACTGATTTACATTGATGTAAACTTTTTTTGTTTGTTTGTTACTATATACAGTGGTGCTAAATCTCATTTGTAGGAGCTGAGATTGTGGCTCAGTGGTAGAGCACTCACCTGGCATGTGCGAGGCCCTGGGTTCGATCCTCAGCATCACATAAAATATATATTTTTTAAATAAATCTCATTTGTAAATTGATTGTGTCTTAAGATTAATAGGTTTCTTTTTTTGTAAGGTCTGCATCTTCAGTCTTCTGTAGTTTTATATAGCGTGCATAAATGCATGGGGCATTTTATTGGGAAGAAGCATAAAAACTTGGCAGTATATGTGGGTTTATTTTATTTTGTTGTTTAATTTCAGATATGAACTTCCAGCCCCTTCCTCTGGTCAGAAAAATGACATTACCGCATGGCAAGAATGTGTAAACAATTCTATGGCCCAGTTAGAGCATCAGGCAGTTCGAATTGAGAATCTGGAACTAATGTCTCAGCATGGATGTAATGCCTGGAAAGTATATAATGAGTAAGCTGCTTTTCACCCATCCTACCCAAAGCTTTAATATTTTTTAAAAATATGGGAGACTGGGTAACAGACAAGGGATAAAAAATAATAAAGCTAGATTTGACTTGGGATCGTGTCCTAGATCTAACCCCTATGAAAAGCCAGTACTTTGAGACCCATCTCAAAATTTAAGAGTGCTAATGAGGCCTGACTTTAAACTACCACATTTACTGTAGAATGATGTAAGAAAATGGGTTGTGAGGGCCAGTATACAAATCACCTGATAGACTGTAATCCTTAATGTTAGGGATTCTCATTAGTTGATTCTCATTAGTCCCAGTAAACACTGAATTAAATACCATACCATATCTCTAGAAGTATGTATATGTATACACACATACATCTCACATAAGTTATTTTAGAAACAACTAATTCTAGTAGATTTTTTTAATAAAAAACTAATTAATTAATTGTAACTAATTAAAACAAATTAAAAAAAAGAAAAAGAAAAAACAAACTGGGCACAGTGGTGCACACCTAGCAGGTGTATCATGAGTTCAAAGCCAGCCTCAGCAATGGCGAGGCACTTAGCAACTCAGGCCCTATCTCTAAATAAAATACAAAAATTGGGCTGGGGATGTGGTTCAGTGGTTGAGGCCCCTGAGTTTATTCCCCAGTATCCAAAAAAAAGAGAGAAAATGAACTTAAGAAGTATAAAGTATCACACTTAAGACACTTTGCTAATAGATGCCAAACTTGAAACTTAAACTCTGTCCTCTGGGCTTCTCTTTATACGAGCAAAAATAAAAAGTCAGAGCGTCTCCTTGCTTAGCCTCAACTGGGAATGTGCATACCTAGGATCTCAAGAGTTTTCACTGGTGTACAGATATTCATGAATGACTACAAAACATTGCAAATAGTAATTTGGGGGATATAAATAAAGTAGGTACACAGACTCTCAAAATATGGAGTTTGTGAATAATGACAATCAAACTATAAATAGAGAACTAATATCAGAAAGGATTTTGCTGGCAAAACAACCCATTGAGCTCTCATTTCTGTTCCAAAGCTTTAGCTTTAGTATTTATTCTCTATCTAGACTTCAGTTTTCTTGTCTGTAAAATTCAGTAGTTAGATTATCTCTGTGAGGGGCTGAGGATATAACTCAGCTGGTAGAGTGCTTGCCTCGTAAGCATACGGTCCTAGGTTTGATCCCCAATACTACAAGAAAAAAAAAATTATCTCTGTGGTTCCTTTGAGCCTCATGAGTATATGTAAAACTCTGTTAGACTGTTTCCTTAAACAATTGTATAAAATAAAACCACAATAGATAGCTTTTGTATGATCTTCAGAATTATAAGTTTCTATTGCCAAATCGTGATCCAACGGACAAAACCCAGAATTTGGGAAACTACAAGACAAACATTTCAGCTTCTTTTATGAATATACAAAAGAAAGGAAGGGTCAAAAGAAAGAATAGGATCTGGATGATGAAGAAATTTAAGAGAGAGATCAGTTAAGAAAACTTGTTTCACAAGGAGAACAGCATGATTCCTATCCTCAAGAAGCTCTACATATTGTTAAGGAAACAAATTCTAGGCCAAGGAACCAGTAATCGGAGATTTGGGTGTCCAAAAATGAAGAACATAGGTACGAGGAGGAACCATTAAATTCAAGAGAACATTGATTCCGGTCTGCCTGTCTTCCCTGATTGAAATTCTGCCTATCGTACTCTGTGCCTCTTCTTGGTAACTATGGTGGACGTTACTTGCTTTTCCTTTAATCACATAGTATTCTTCACTGTTGAACATTGTCCTAAGCTTTTTTTTTTTGTCTCCTCCAAACTCAATAGAAGCTTTTCCGGAGGAAGAATACTATGCAAAAATAGTATATTTTGTCAAAATAAATTTAAGAAGGAGGATGGAACAGGAAGAAGACAACAAATAACCTTTCAGGGAGAGGATGTTTGAAGACCAAATCATTAGAGAATTGCATTTAGTGCAAGAAAACCAGTCGGTAGAGGTAGGAAGTTGACTCAGGGCAACAGCAGAAAATTTGAGTTAGAAAATCAGGAAACACATGTGAGAAGCCCAGCCCTGCAGCACAACTAGGAAACAGTATTAGTCTGAAGCAACAGTACCGTCAGGCCAGAGGTGTTCAAGTGGCTTGTGAATTATGTCTCAGTAAAGCTGTTGTTTAAGTTTATTGAAGTCTACCATCAAATCACTTCCAGTGATAATGATCACATGGTACTCTCTATTGAACTTTTCCCCTATGTTAGTTAGAAGTGACTTAGACTGATACCTGAATCTCTAGCCTCCTACTACAGCTTCTTTTTCAGTTTTTAGTAAAAACCAGAGTTGAATAAGACAAGATTAATGTAGATATGAAAATCGAGATATAAAAGAATATTGAGAATGAGATCTGGATGATGAAGAAATTTAAGAGACAGGTCAGTTAAGAAAACTTGTTTCACAAGGAGAACAACATGATTCCCATCCTCAAGAAGCTCCATATTAAAAAATAGGTCTATCAGATATTTTTCATCTTCTTGATTGATGAAAAAAAGTTATGATAAGCCAGGAGTGTTAAGTGCCTGTAGTCCAAGGAGGCTGAAGACACGAGGATTATTTGAGCCCTGGAGTTCAAGGCCAGCCTGGAAAGCATAGTCGACCTGTCTCCAAGAAAAAAAAGTCATATAACAGTTTAAGAAATGACATAGGTACTCAAAATGAAAGTATCTGTAAGCTGCTTAGCTCTAGAATGTAAAAGACCTGAAATCCAACCAGGCACGGTAGTGCACGCCTATAATCCCAGCAACTTGGGAGGCTGAAACAGGAGGATCACTGAGACAGGAGGATTACAAGTTCAAGGCTAGCCTCTGCAACTTAATGAGACCCTGTCTCAACATAAAACAGAAAAGGCTGGCTGGGATTTAATTCAGTGAAATGCCCCTAGGCTCAGTCCCTATTATGAAAAAAATAAAATAACCAACCTGAAATGTCTAACACCTGTATTATCTTGATCAAGTTACTTGATCCTTGTAAGCCTCGTTTTATTCACATGTGTAACTGGAATAATAAATCATACCCTATCTCAATTCCTGTGAGAATAAAATTAGTTAATGTTAATGGAGTATCTAATGTATTGAGCACAGAGATCTCATTGTTTATTTTTTTAGTAGGAAAATGTAACTTTGTGTGAACCTAGGTAGTTTAGCTGGTATCATGAGGTCTTAATGTTCCTTAATCTGATTTTCCTTTTCTCCTTCTTTAGAAATCTAGTCCATATGATTGAACACGCACAGAAAGAGCTTCAGAAGTTAAGGTAAATTGTTCTTCCTGTTGTTTTAGAATAAAGTTTAAGCAAACCCTTAATAGACAGTGGAAGAAAAAAGAAAGCAATAAGACTATAGCCATATGACAGTAAACACTGGACAGTCTGTCCAGCATCTAGCACTGGATTTGTCCTTCCTGAGAGGAAGGGAAATAGGCTTAAAATCTGAAAACATTTCTACCAGGTCATACAACTTGCAAGTCTGCAAGCATAGAAAAGGGACTTTAAAAGAGGGGGAACATTGTAGAATAACATGTGTAACCTGATTTATATAAAAACCGGTCTTTGCATATGTGTGCACAGAGGAAAGAATCTAGGACACCCACTGTCTTTTTGTTTCCTGTTGCAAACAGCATAATACCTCACACTGGGTAAGTTTTAAACAAAAGAGGTTTATTTTGGCTTACAGTTCTGGAAATCCAAGGTCAAGGGGTACATCTGGTTATAACCTTGCTGGCAGAGTCCCAGCGTGGTGCAGGACATCACATGGCAAGAGACGGGGAAGTGGCGCAGGTGTGTGTTCAGGTCCCTTTCTCACTGTTAAAAAACCTGGTGTATTCAGTATTTGGGGCTCCACACTGTTACTGTCTAATCCTAATCATCTCTCACATTGCAAAGGCCCACCCCAACCACCATAGTTCAATTAACTTTTGACTGTTGATAATGCACAGTGGAGGTTAAACTTCAACATGAATTTTGGAGGGGACAGTCCATATTTAAATTATTGCCCCCACCAAAAACTCAACAGCATTCACTAGGAAGTGGGAGAAATGCAGGGGAGGAGGGACTTCTGATTTGTAATTTATGTGTACATGTTTGGGTGTACTTTTTATTTTAACTAGAAGAAAGCTCACTTCTAAAACTAGTCCATGATTGTGTATGTATCTGTTCTCAGGACATTAAAGGTATTCTCATGTTGACTATTTGTGTATGTGTCTATTTTAAAGAGATTAAAGACATTTTCACATTGACTGTTACTTTTTCTGTTTATTTTACTCTTAACGTTAAAATGTAGTTGGGTTGTGTAAATAACTTTTTGCAGGAAACATATTCAGGACTTAAACTGGCAGCGAAAGAACATGCAACTTACAGCTGGATCTAAATTAAGAGAAATGGAGTCAAAGTGAGTGTCAATAATTCCATCATGTTTCAAACTGCTTATCCCTGTCTGTGATCAGGATTCAGTAAGAATCAAACAGTATTCACATGGAATTCCACGGGTGTCAGATGCTGTTTTCTAAATCTGCCCTTCACTATTTCAAAATCTGCACCTTTCTGAGTGTAGAAAGCAAAAAAGAGTTACAAACAAGAATTGGACCACATGGGGCTGGGGATGTGGTTCAAATGGTAGCGCACTCGCCTAGCATGCATGAAGCACTGGGTTGGATTCTCAGTATCACATAAAAACAAAATAAAGATATTGTGTCCACCTAAAAATAATTAATAAATAAATAGATAGATAAGAATTGGACCACAGCTAATGATCTGGTCTTAGAGTACCTGTCATGTTTTTAGTCCAGTATTTCTGGCTCTTTATAAGACCTACTTGTATTCTAATTGTTTTATTGTTTACTTTTTGTCAGCATTGAGAATTAAACCCTAGGCCTCCCATATGCTAATCTGGCACTCTGTACCATGACTAGCCCCACCCCACCCCCCTTTGTGTGTGTGTGTGTGTGTGTGTGTGGTACTGGGGGTTAAATCCAGGCCCTTGCACATTCTAGACAAGTGCTACACTCCCAGACCTTATATTTTATTTTGAGACAAGGTCTTGCTGAGTTGCACACACTGGCCTCAAACTTGTGATCCTCCTGCCTCAGCTTCCCAAGTAGCTGAGATTATAGCCTCCTTGAGATTGTTTTAGGGGAAAGGGAGCCTTCCTTAAATCTGCAGTTTATTTTTTATCAGTTCTAGAATTGTTTCCACCATTTTTCTATAATTGTTGCTTCTGCCCTATTTTCTCTTCTACTAACCCAATACTGTCTTTCAATACTCTTTCTTGTCTTTTCTGTCTTATTGATTTGCTATTTGTTTCTACTTACTTTTTTATTAATTATACTTCTTAATTTGAAATAATTGTAGATTCACTTGAAATTGTAAGTAATAATAAATGAGGAATGAAATCAACCAAATATGTTATGTCCATGTATGAATATACCACAGTGAATCCCACTTACAAATATAACATGCTAATTAAAACAATAGTAGTAGTAGTAATAGAAGGGAGATCAGTAGAGTATAGCAAGCAGGATGGGGAAATGAGATTGATCAAATTATGTGCATATACAAATACGGCATAATGAATTTCACTATTATAAAGTGCCAATTTAAAAAAATAATACAGAGGTACTCAGGAGGTTGAAGCAGGAGGATTGGAAGTTCAAAGGCAGCCTGGATGAGGTGAGACGCTGTCTCGAAATAAAAAGGCCTAAGGATCTGGCCAGTGGTGGAGTGCTTGGCTGGCATATGCAGAACTCTGGGTTTGGCCCCAGTACTGCAAAAAAATAAATAATACAGAGAAAGTCTCTGTACCTTTCACGTATTTTTTTTACAATTGTGTCTCCGTTTTTTTAAATGAAAAGTTAAGTGTTACAACCCTCAATGAAATTGTACATACATTTAAAATTAAATCTTCTAAGAGAAATCTTATATTGAGTAATATTTTCATTTTCTTTTCTTTCATTTTTTAGTTGGGTATCCCTGGTCAGTAAGAATTATGAAATTGAACGGACTATTGTGCAACTAGAAAATGAAATCTTTCAAATTAAGCAGCAAAATGGAGAGGCAAACAAAGAAAACATCCGGCAAGATTTCTGAAAAGACTAATTTGATGGGTAGAAAGGAAGAAAAGTTGGGCTTTCACAGAATGTCAGACATCTGAACTTTCTCTGAAATATGAAGAACAGCCTCTCGTGGAAACCATTGATGGTCAAATGTTTAGAAACCACAAAAGATGTGGACTTTTGTATTAACTCTATTTGTATATCTTAATGAAATAAAGATTTTCAACTTGGTAGTACTTTTATAGTTGTGGGAAAAAACTTCAGGCTTTCAAAATAAGTATGGCCTTAGAATAGTATTGTTTCATAGAACTAATTTTGAGCTACTTGGACCATGTTTGTAACCAAGGCTTTCAACTGGTACAAGAAGCTGGGAGCTTTTGGGGGGTATGATTTTGTCAATAAAGAAGTAGTTACACAAGAGGCCAAGGTAGGAGGATTGCAAATTGAAGGCTAACCTGGATAACTTAGACCCTGTCTCAAAATAAAAAAGGCTGGGATGTAGCACAGTGATAGAGTTCCTCTGGGGTCTGATCCCCAGTACGGGGTGGGGGTGGGGGGTAGTACTAAACTCAATTTTTACTACCAAATGTGGTTAATCTTGGTTGTCAGCTTGATTACATTGAGAAATTCCTAGAAAATTGGTGCCAAGAAGTGAGGTCATTGCTGTGACTGTACTAATGATATAGTTCAGAAGCTTTCAAAATTGGTTTGCAGTCGGAATTTGGAAAAGTTTGTAGAAGCACACTACCTAAAGCTTAGAATGTTGTAAGCAGATCTTAATGGATGATTCTGGTGAGGGCTTAGAAGATCAGAATGCTGATAGATAGAAATGTGAATACTAAAGGTTAAGCTCAGGTTTTAGATGGAAATAAGCAATATTGGGACTAAAGGCCACCCACTCACTTTACACTGTGGCAAGGGATTTGAATGCATTTTGTCCATGCCTGAGGCTTTGTGAAAGGCTGAGTTTAAAGGTAACCAACTGACTAACATGACAGTAAATTTTAAGGCAGCAGAACATTCAGGATATTTCTGGCAGCTTTTAGCCAGAGTTACAGTTAGAATCAGTAGCATAAAACAATAGGGGAATTTTTTTTAAAAAAAACTTGTGATTCACCAGGCATGGTGGCACATGCCTAAAATCCAAGTGACTCAGGAGGCTGAGACAGAAGGATTGCAAGTTCAAAGCCAGCTTCAGCAAAAGTGAGGTGCTAAGCAACTCAGGGAGACACTGTCTCTAAATAAAATAGGGCTGGGGAGGTAGCTCAGTGGTCAAGTGCTCCTGAGTTCAATCCCTGGTACACACCCACCCCCCAAAAAATTGCGATTCCCCTTAGAAAAGGAACATGTTTAAAGGTGTTGCCAGGTAGGGCTGTTTTTTTTAAAAGCAGATTCTTTGCACCAGAACAATAAAAAAGATGCCTTGAGAGCATCTCAGAATCTTCCAAGACTCCACCTATCACAGGCTTTTCAAAAGTTACAGAGTATAATCTTATGTTCTTTTGAGGAGAGCCCAGGGTGCACAGAACAATTTAGGGAATGGTTTCGCTGGGATTTGCCTGTGTTGAACCCTCAAGGCCCTGCAGCCTGGTTGAAGTGGGCCCTGGTGTAGCTCATGCTGGAAGCAGGCCTTGACATAATCCACAGGATGCTGGTTTTACAGGCATCTAGAATGCAAGACTCATGGGGTCTTGGAAGCTTCCACTGAGATTTCAAAGGAGAGCATGGGAGGCTAGGCAGTGTGTGGCAGGGTCAGTTTCTGCAAGCAGCCCCTACTGCAGAACACAGAGTAAAGCCGAAGCTACAGTGGATACCCCAGGAAGCCGAAGATGCCAGAATGAGGAATGCCTGCTGAGGAAATCCAGAAGCAGCAAGCAGAACTAACTGAAGAGAGTGGCCGTGGTGGCTGCAGCCAGCAAGTTGTAGGGGTGGTACTCTCCAAGCCCTTCGGTAGTCACATCACCACCATGTGCCCTGGATGCTGGGCACGAAGCTATAGCACTTAATGTTTGCTCTGCTAAGTTTCAGTCTTGGTCTGATGCTGTCCATGCCCTTACTCCTTCTCTTGGGAATGGGAATGTTTACTCTATGTCATTGTATCTTGGGGGTATTTAACTTTTTTTTTGGGTTTTTTTTTTTTTTTTTTTTTTTTTTAAGAGCTGGGGTTGTGCTTAGTGGCAGAGCACTTACCTAGCACATGTGTTCAATCCCCAGCACCACATAAAAATAAATAAAGGTCTTGTGTTTCTCTATGACTAAAAAAAAAAAAAAAATTAAAGCAAAGGATTTTTGTTTTAAAGGTTCAAAGCTAAGAGTTTGCTTTGAGTCTCAGAGGAGACTTTGGATTATTGAGCAAGACTTTGGATTATTGAGCAAGGTTGGAATAATTAAGACTTTGGAGACTTTTTTTGCATTGTGAAATTGACCTGAACTTTTGGGGGCCAGGTACAGAACTCTATAATATGGACCTTCAACACCCTCCCTCAAAGGCCCACATATTGACAAATTGGTCCCCAACCTGTGATGCTGTTGAGAGGTAACAGAATCTTAAGGAGGTGGAGCCTACTGTAAGAAAGTGAGGTCACTGGAGGTATGCCCTTAAAGGAGATCCTGGCACCTCAGCTGACCCCTCTCTCTTGCTTCCTGGGCACCATGATGTGGGTAGCTTCTTCCACCACACACTCCCACTGTCATGATGAAGTGTCTCACCACAGGCCCAAAGAAAACCGGGCCAGCCATGTACTGAAGCCTTGGAAACTGTGAGCCAAAATAAGCCTTTCTCTTCTTGTTGATAGGTAGTTTACCTCATATTTGCCACAGCAACAGAAAGCTGACTAACACCAAAAGCTGACTATGACCAGAAATAAGTGAATGCATATATGATATTGTCATTAAAGGTAACAGTTACATCAGGCTTCATATGTGCTGAACATTGTTCTGAACTTGTTAGGGAGATGAGCTGGATTGGAGGCTGAGACAGGAGAATTGCGAGTTCAAAGCCAGCCTCAGCATAAGTGAGGCACTAAGCGACTCAGATTCTGTCTCTAAATAAAATATAAAAGGGGCTGGAGATGTGACTCAGTGGTTGAGGGCCCCTGGGTTCAATCCCCATTACCTACCCCAAATAATAATACAGAGTGCTGAGGTTGTGACTCAGCAGTAGAGTGCTTGCCTAGCATGTGCGGGGC